ATGCAAATAATAATGCTTTATGAAGGGCCAATTGGAATTATATTTATTTACTGTGTTAGTTCTTCAATAATTCAACTCTTTTTTTGTGTATGTTTTGTAACTACTTATCTATATTCAGTAATCAGTTTAACTTTGCCTAACATTCCAGTGCGTAATAATTATACAGTTTAGTCGATTCTGTGCAATAGTTTTGATCATTCGAATAAACTAGCAATATTCAATTTATTTTTAGTTAAATTCAAATTCTCTGAATATCTGTAACGATGAGTGCAATTTTTTTACACACTTATGAACTTCTGTTCAAGCAAAACAGCCTGCATAATATTTTGCTCTTAGTTTGTGATTGAATAATAATAATAATAATAATAATAATAATAATAATAATAATAATAGTTAGTATGGTCATCTCAATAAGGAATTATTACTATGGATTAAACTGCGAAATCGTTCATGGAGGACAACTGACAGACTCATTCGAAGTAAAGACCAGTATCGGGAGGTCTTGCTTACTATCTGGAGGAAAGCATGGTCTATTGTGGACATTTAGGATGTAGCTGTGCGATCGAGACTTCACAATTGTTCTAGCCTTTAAACCTAAAACACTGTAGCAAAACCCGGAGGAGACGATCAATGTAGCTGCAGCCTCAGCAGCAGTTAGCCACAATATACAAAAAAGCAAGATTCTCAGATTCAACACAACCTGCACAAACCAAACCATACTTGACGGTGAAGTTTTGTGAGATGTAAAAACCTTTACATATCTAGGCAGAATCATTAATGAACACAGCGTATCTGATGCAGATGTGAAGGCACGGGTCAGCAAAATAAGGAAAGCATTTCTGCAATTCAAAACTAATATCAAACAACCCTGAAATCAGAATTTTCAAAACAAATATTAAGACAGTTCCCCTGTATTGTGCGGAAACTTGTAGAATCAAAAAAGTCATCGTCAACAGGATACGATTGCTCAATAACAATTGTCTGCATAAAAAACTTCGGATTGTCTGGCTAGACACCACCATCAACATCAACCTATTGTGGGAAAGAATAAAACAGATTCCAATGGAAGAACAAATCAGTAAGAAGCGCTGGAAGTGGATAGGACACACATTAAGGAAAGCACCAAACTGCGTCACAAGATAAGCCCTCATTTAGGATGCTGAAGGCCTAAACGGTATCCGAATAACTAAGGAATACATTACACTGAATAAAACGAAGTCAGATATGAAAAGAATGAACAACAGTTGGACAGAACTAGAAAGGAACGCCGACGACGGTGTAGGTTGTGGAATGCTGGTCGGTGGACTGTGCTGAGTGAGGAGTAACAGGCGTAGGTAGGTAAATAAGTAAGTAAGTAAGTAAGTAAGTAAGTAAGCCACTAAGTAAGTAAGTAAGTAATAATTAACAGTCAGTCCTCGATGTTTTGATACAGCTACTCGATATGACTAATTTTCAAACTACTTTGTAATAATATTACACTTCAAAATCATCTCAAGAGTCTGATCAGACACTTCAACCGATTCAGTAGTGTTAATCAGTGGATTTGATCGTCTCGCGAAATAAATCTATCAATCTTTTTTACACACTAAAAAGAAAACTCCTCCTCACTATCCTCTCCTGACAAAACGGTGTTATTGACGAAACTATGATATTTTTAGAATCATAAAATTCAAATTCAAAATGATCAGTTTTAATGCAAATCGTTTGACAATCAGTTTCAATGTTAAAAATAATTAGGATGACGTTTAATGTCCAACTTTTCTCCTCAGTCAATCGAAAAAAAAAAACAAATTCAAACTGTGCTATTCTTATTCAGGTTTTTCGAAAATTGTTGTTGCTGTTTGGAATTCATACACATTGACATGATGTTCTTTTTTACTGTGTTGTTGATATTTGTCAATCTCATAATGACAACAAACTTTATTGAATTTGTCAGTGACTTCAATGATAATAATAAAACTAATATTCAACCTACATAGAAAGCAATGCATTATTCTCCTATTTTCATCTGTTTGTATTTAGTTTTATGTGATAATAGAGTAGGCAAATTATTTCTATATTTTTCTTACATATTCAATACATGTACATTCTCCCTCTGTGCAGATGTGTAAGAATTACAAATGACGCAGAAATCAATTCATGCATTTATGTTGTAATAATGTTTACTACTTACTATCTTACATCCTATGTATAGTAAGTAATATTCAATTACAAATATGCCCTAGATTGTATGTGATGAAATAATGATCAATCATTATCGCTTTTGGTGATTGACAATGATTTATTGATTGAAATTATTGTAGAAAAAGAAAAAAGAGAAAAATATAAAATAAATTTTTTTTGATTAAGTTTGTGTTGACATGCATTGATTATTGATGTTTCCGATGACCTTGAGTTGCCTACTTACTGACGCCTGTTATCCCTCAGTGGAGGTATAAGCCACTCTGATTCGCATTCTACAATCTACTTTATCTAATTCTATCCAATCGTTGTTCATTCTTCGCATGTCTGTTTTCAATACTGAGCGTAATGTGTTCTTTGGTGTTTCGTTCTTTTCGCTTTGGTATTCAGGATTCAAAGTGATGATGACCTTGAACATTTAGTCCAATTTGATTCTTCTGTTGATTTGATTCTACCGATGAACGGTTATAAGGAAAGAATTATTCAGAAGAGATTTGTGTGGGAATCGGTGTACTGTGTGGAACAAACACTATTTTAAATACGTCAATACATTCAACCACAGATATAACTCTGTGTGTTTTTCTGGTGTCTATCTATTTTGCTAGTGTTTTTACATAAATACATTCCTATTTCCGTTAGAATTTGTCTTGATATGAACTAGTTGCACTATGACTAGGCGAATTATAATGTTCTAATTCTATTAGTCGTCAGTGTTTTCACATCAACAGCTTCATGTGTAAACTTGATATACTTTTGATTTCTCAATTCAATAATTTTCTTTAGAGGCTTGTAAAGAGTGGTGAGTTTCATCAAAGTTATGAATTGATCATTCTTAGACCGTCATTAGAAACCTGGAAACATTGGACGACCGTTTCGTCCTACGATGAAACTCACCAGCATCTACGCATCTACGAGCCTCACACCGCAGAATCAAACCGAGAATCCTCGGTCTCGTAGGTGAACGCTTACCTTCTAGACTACTGAGATCGCCTACGACCTTAGATTGGGTGGGGTTAGACATTAATACTGCCACATACCGGTGGAATAATTCACTTCATCATTGTTTTTATCGTTCTCTCCTGTTCATGTGATTTTATGCATTTGAATTATTTTTGAAATTATTTCACTAAATTAATAGAACGGTTTTAAATTATTGTAAAAGCAGGTATTTTCTTGTTTCGTTTATTACACTATTCTGTTACTACGTATTATGATTCTACGTTAGTATTTCACTTATCGGTTTTTTAGTAACAACAAAGGCACACATTTTTAATAAGAATGTGCACAATATATTCTTATCAGTAATGACAGAAGATAACTAAATAAGCGGAATTCTTTTCTTATATCTAATCTAGATATTTGAAAAAACATACACTATTACACAACATCCGAAAATCAAAACAACTGTCAGCAAACACTAAAGTCAGTCAGTCAGTCAGTCAGTTGCAACGTAGAACTTCGTACGTATGTACATAAGTTCATGTTGCCATACCACACTAAAGTCAGATTTCTTCAATTTAAATATCAAGAAAGTTTTATCGTATAGGGCGGAAACTTGGATAACTGCCAAAGCCATCATCCACACGATACAAGTATTGATGAACTGGTGTTTATGCTAGATACCTTTGAATTTGTTTGTCAGACAGCATCAACAATAACCTAGTGTAGGATAAAACAAACCAAATTCCAGTGAAGGAGAAAATCAAGAAGAAGTGATGAAAGTGGAAAGGAGACACTTTGAAGAAAGCATTGAATTGCATCACAAGACAAGCTATTAATTGGAACTCTCTAGGTTAAAGGAAAACAAGAAGATTAAAGAATTTACTACTTCGAAAGTTGGAAACAGACACGGGAAGAATAAACACTTATTATAGATAAGTGGAAACGAAGGCCAAGGAGAGATTATTTTTGAGAGTACTGGTCGTTGGCCTCTGCTCCACTGTGAGTAACAGGCGTAAGTAAGTAGGTTAGTACGGTTTAAAAAATATACTGAACTTTCAAAAAGTCAAAAGATGAAGCTAATTCAAACTATATCAGTGTGATCTAATCTAACTTATTTGTAATGTTGATCATCATCAGAACGTCAAGATATCATGATACGATCTATTATGCAAAAATGTGACTATATTTTCCCGCCATGAAGGTTGATGAAGCATAGTCTGGGGACTTCATGCTGGCGTTATTAGAAAAGGTTTCTTTGGAGGCACACAAACCCACGGCGTAGATAATGTTATGGAGAACCGGTCGCCAGAGTATCTTGGTGCACCAGGAGCAAGTATACATTTCATGTGTATCAGAAACACATGAGTTTTCACCTCATATATCTCATATCATACATATTGGCATACCTACCATATAGTTCAGCTAAATGTTACAAGCACACAGGGAACACACCATTTTTCATCCTTGCATCCTATAGTATACTCATAGGTACAACCACCCCTCCGGAGGCTGTTGATCGCTACTTCTGTGAACCTATCTGCTACCACGAACTGTCTCTCATGCCTTATATACATGATACATAAGGTTTCGTAAAAGAATTTGATGACACATCTGTAAGCACGCTTAACCTACATATTTTAATCAGACTCCTTAAATTATAGACATGGACCAGCCACTGCGATCATAAGTTTACCAGCCTCTCTCATAATCAGTTACGACATTAGAATCGGAGATTGGTCCGATCTCTGTTGACCGCTCTTACTTAAGTGAACTAACAAAATTGTCTTCATTACATACTAAACACAATAACTTGATTGATATAAGAAGATAATTATCGAAGTGTTCAATAAACAATAATTCATTTTGTGTACAAAATATATTGATTGAAAATTCAAGGCAAGAAGATAAGGAATAAAGTTTGCCTGTTCTTTCATGTATAAATGAAATGAAATAATTTTTCAAAAAAAATGTCAATCGATAAATGGTTGAATCATATTTTTGTAAGAAATATCAAAATCAATAATCAAATGTTTGACTTGCAACATATCGATCGATATTTCGATTTCATAGTTGAACAACAAGTTTTTGTGAAAACACTTTTTCCTTGATTTGATTCATAAATCAATAAAAATGAAGTAATCAAATAGATGAGATGAATAACTCCGAAAGTAAAGCAAAGATACGTGATAACAGTTTTGTAATGTCGGATAAATTCACTCAACGGATCAATACATCCCTGGATAGTTGTTGAAAGAAAAAACAAAGAAACGTTTTATGTGAATCGAATCATGTCTAGTTATGAAGGTACCATATTTTAATAAACATGTATACAATATGAAACATACGCAACACAACCTATTGTGGCAGAGAACAAGACTGCAGAGGAAGAAATTAGGAAGAAACGTTGGAAGTGCATAGGATACATACTGAGAAAATCATTCAACTGTATCGCAAAATAAGCTTTCACTTGGAATCCTGAAGGACAAAGTAGAAGAAGAAGACCAAAAGAACACATTACGCCAAGAAATCGAGCAAGACATACGAATAATGAACATCATTTGGAGACAACTGGAAAAGAAGTCGGAAAATGCTGTTTGGTGACCTGTGCTTCATTGACGATCATAGCCTTACGTAAGTAATTAAGTAAGTAAGTAAGTAAGTAAGTAAGTAAGTAAGTAAGTAAGTAAGTAAGTAAGTAAGTAAGTAAGTAAGTAGGTAAGTAAGTAAGTATGTAAGTGCATAAGTTAGTGAGTGAGTGCATAGGTAAGTAAGTAAGTCATAAGTAAGTAAGTAAGTAAGTAAGTAAGTAAGTAAGTAAGTAAGTAAGTAAGTAAGTAAGTAAGCAAGTAAGTAAGTAAGTAGTTAGGAAAGTAAGTGGGTAAGTAAGCAAGTAAGTGAGTAAGTAAGTAAGTAACTGAGTAAGTAAGTAAGTATTTAGGTAAGTAAGTAAGTAAATAAGTGCATACGTTAGTGAGTGAGTAAGTGCCTAGGTAAGTAAGTAAGTAAGTAAGTAAGTATTTAGGTAAATAAGTAAGTAAGTAAGTATTGAGGTAAGTAAGTAAATAAGTAATTATATAAGTAAATAAGTAACTAGGTAGGTAAATAAGTTATTACGCGAGCAAGTCAGTAAGTATTTAAGTAAGTAAGTGATTAAGTAAGTAAATAATTAATTATGTAATTAAGTAAGTAGGTGTGTGGGTAAGTGAATAAGTAAATAATTTTGTCACTACTTAAGTAAGTAGGTAAATTAGTAAGTAATTAGTTCAGTAACTAAATAAGTTCGTAAGTACGTAAGTAAGGAAGCACGTCAGTAAGGAAGTAATTCAATATGCTGTAAAAAATAAACTGATTGATTTTTACTGGCCCAGGAACTGACTTCAGTTTGTTCAAACTATTAAATATGCTATGAAATAAATCTTACATTCAATTTTTTTCGAAGACCTCTTTGCAATACCAAAAAACGTAGATGCAAGCAAGTCTGAGAGCTGAAAATATATCGCTCTACTCTCAAAACCAATAAACGTTTTCAACAGTGTTGTTGTTAAACCAAATGAAAGATTTCCTATACGTTCAAGTTTATGACTCGCAATGATCGATTATGCACTGACCAAATCACGACATGACAGATGATTGTTGAACAAACAACTGTGTGGGATTCATCACTCTAGATAAAATTCTTTGAATACGAGAAAGCATTCGACTTAGTGGACTAAGGAAAATTATGGAGAAGTCTTCAACGGTATAGTATACCTGATAGTCAACATTATGTAATTTTCTTTTGATAGACTGCACTGAAAAATCGTGCATGGAGGACAGCTCACAAACTCATTCCTAGAGGAGACCGATATCACGTAACGAGGCATTCTCTTACAACACTTATACAGTCAGAAAAACATCCGCGACTCAAAACAACTGTCAAACAGTACCAAAGTTACAATTCGCATTACAAATGTCAAGACTGTTCTATTGTATGAAGTGGGAACTTCGAGAACGATAAAAGCCATCATCCACAAGATACATGTATTTAAAAACAGTTATCGACACAAGATACTCTCCATCCGTTGGCCAGACACTATCAGCAACAACCTACAGTGGTAGATTCCAGATAGTAGATTCCGATTGAAGAAGAATTGAGGAAAAATCGCAGGAGGTAGATAGGAGATTATTTACTTGCTTACTTATTTACTTACTTACTTACACCTGTCCCCCCGGTGGAGCATAGGCCAGTATTCTTCAACCTAATCTCTCCTCGGTTGGGTGTTTTTCTCGATGTGCGTCCTGTGCACTTTCACCGCTTCTTCCTGATTTCCTCCTCCACTGGAATCTGGTTTGTTCTCTCTCACAGTATGTTGTTGCTGATGGTGTCTGGCCAGAGAATCCGAAGTATTTTGCATAGACAACTGTTATTCAATACTTGTATCTTCTGGATGATGTCATTGGCAGTTTCCAAGTTTCCGCCACATACAGTAGTAGAACTGTCTTGACGTTTCTATATTAAATTGCAATTTTGGTATTTTTTGACAGTTGTTTTCAGCTCCAGGTGTTGTTCAGTTGTAGAAATGTAGCACCCGCTTTGCTGAAACGCGCCTTTACATCTGCATTAGATCCACCTTGATTGTTGATGAAATTACCCGATCGTAGGACGAGGCAAGCCATCACTTGAAATCTTCAAAGCGTAAGGAAAAGAGGCACATCAAAGACTAAATTATGCCAGGAATTCGAAGCAGATATGATAAGAATGAACCGGCAGTTGGACAGAACAAGAAAGGGATTCCTAGATCAGAATTGATTAGAGAATGCTTCTAGGTAACCTATAATACTTCATGTCAAAAATTATCTCTTAGAACTAGATAACAATTATTAAGAAAAAAAATAATTTTTACTTACAATTGAATATGGTTTTATTCCAGATATACATGACATTGGTATCAGTTGTTTTGTTTGTAAATAATCTTCAAATGAATTCACACCACAACAATGAAACTATCAATAAATGTTGTCCTACTATCAAATTTTTCTAACTTACTCTAGATTGTAATTTGTTAAATTCCAATTGATAATAAAAATTTCTCCAAAATTGTTTAATACTATTGTTTAGCGAATGTAGAATCTCTGTCAAAAACTGTCAATTAACTGTCACAGTTAATTTTTATGGCACTGACCTGTTGTTTCAGGCAAAACAATATCGATCCAATACTCAACTCAACCAATGTGATCAAGATGAAAGCACCTAAATGCTAAACAGAGAGAGAGAGAAAGATTAAAAAAAAGCACATTTGAATTCTGATAGAACAGTGATGAGAAGACGTAATCTGATCTGAAAAATGTTGTGATGTATTTGCGCGTTTTACACATTTCGAACAATCTGGTCACACATATATATACACACTTGTCAAGGCATTTTCTGTGAAGATGAATACAAAGGTGGTCAATGAAGTAAAAGTTCAAATAGTAGACATAAGGTGATCATTGTAAATGAAGGTGAGAGAGAGGAAATTAACGTAATATTACGTTAATTGACAAGTGTATGTATATGTGTGACCAGATTGTTCGAAATGTGTATAGCGCACAAATACATCACAACATTTTTCAGATCAGATTACGTCTTCTCATCACTGTTCTATCAAACTTTATCTAAAAGGGACTACTAATTGTTTTTACATTTGAATTCAATGAATCGATTCAATGTTCAATTTTATATTTCATAGGTGTGTGTTTGGTTTCACTTTTTTTGGATTCAATTACCAAATACATGATCATTTTCTTCTGTATCAATATACCAAGCATTCCAACGCATACAACCAATATACTGTACATTCCTGTGAAAGTGACAACGATTACAACATATGGCATAGTTGTGTGTAAAATTCTTTTATATTCCGATAGAACAGAATTTAGTTTCATACTGTATGCTGTTAAAATAACTCCGGCTACCTAAATATACATAGATTACATATAATCACTGACAAATTTCACTTACGATTAAAAGACAATTCATAAAAACAAGTAGTTTTGTTGAATCCCGACCATATTTGAACAAATACATTGTAATGTAGATTGGACTGATTTTCCTAACGGAATCCTGTGAATGAATAATGGCGTTTATGATGAAAAGAATTTAGTTTCTACTGTGACCAACCAAATAAGGGTTTGTTTTTTTTTTGTTTGTGATGTCTGTCATTATACATGCAGTGTGTGATAAATTTAGTAAGACTAACTCTTTTCTAATTATAACACAATCTTTTTGATATTTTCTACATTGTTCTGATTTCAATTTTTCTTCACATAAACAATTCAACTTAAAGAACATGTGACAATGAAAACAAAAATGAAATCTTTGTAAATATACCTATATAAATCTATGTAGATTTGTGTTATGATTCAACTTAAATATTCATCAATATTTATGTGGTATTTTCAACTTGAAGTAGCAATGATGTAAATTGTAAAATCGATGCGTCATGTTATGTTACTTGTTTTTTTGTTCAATTGTAAGAGCATTTTGTAAAGATTGATTTCATTTATAAGGCCAGTATTTGTGTCCTCGACTGATGATGATGATGATGATGATGATGATTACACTTGAGTTTCATTTGGAATCATTCATCAATCAATGTTAGAGTTACGCTCGTCCATGGATAGGCTTGAATGCTATTACGAGTTCACCGCAGTCGGTAAATGAGAGCGAAGACAAATGATGCAGTGATACGATAGGCTACTCTAATCCAAGTATCCCATGACCCCATTAAGTAGAGGAACAAGGCGTAGAAAAGTGTATTCTACGAACACCCAAAAAATACGAGGTCGACAAGCACACAAAACAAGCATATTTATACAATGATAGTAACGTCCTTGGAAGAACCACAAAAATAGCGTACTAAAATAATTCATCAACCAATATCAGCCAAGGATTTCCCAGGGGGGAATGTAATCTCAAGGTCAACTGATCAGCACATTCTCGGAAACATAAAATCTAAAACTGGGACCTTTATCAAGTGAGCTTAGGGGATCCAATGTCCCAAACAGTTATACCACTACTAGAAAATTGAAAGCACTGAACTGTCATTGAGTTGTTAGTTTGAGACTCATCAGTAGTGAGCATTCACGACCCTGAGTGAGGGAGTCAAATCCGAAGTCTTTGGTTTCGCTTGAGAACTCTCAGCCTTCTGATCATTTGGTCGGCATTCATTGTAGTTTTATGTACATCTTCAGTCAATCCACTCAATTTCTTAAATGTTCAGTGGTCTAGAAGTAAGATCAAAGGTCTTTTGTTCGATTCTCAGTTGAAGAGTCATGGACGTGAACTGCTGATGAGTCCAGTGCTAGAAGGAAACGGTCATCCAGTGCTTCCAGCTTTCTAATGATAGTCTAACAATCATTCATTCGTGATTTCAATGCAAAACAGCGATCTATAATGAATGTATAGTTTTCACTCGATACCACAGGGTGACTTGAGTTACATTGTCTGAAAAACGTGAAGCTAGTAAACGTTGGTTTGTTTTACCATGGAACTTTTGGTCGGCATGAATTCCAGGCATCATCAATAAAAATGGGATCTAGAAAGTTTTAGCTTATTGAGGACCAATGAGGATATTATCAAGATGGGATGGCTATGTTCAAACTGCATTGTACGTTAATAGGATAGTTGAGTGTTTCTTGTGGGGGATGTTTTGTTTTTTGGATGTTTCGATTGTGGAGCTGTCTTTTATCTGAATTCAAATAAAGTTATCCCTATAATGATGATTATTTTTGAGTTTTGTTTTATGTAGTCAGGAATGAGTTCCAGTGAACATTGTATATAAGTATTTCCGATTGAAGAGTCCCGAATAAGAGGAAACATGAATCATGTATTCTTTTGCTAGGTACCATCCATCTCTCTCTCTTTAATTACTTCATCATATCTAGAAAACCTCTAGACACTAAAAATTTGTTCAAATTGTATAAAAATTTGAACTTTGATAGACTGATGAATAGTTGAAATGATGTCGTTGATGTCACAATGTTCATTAATGAAAGCTTAATATGTTTGTACTTGAATCATGATAGATTGGCAGTTATAGCTTTTATTGTTCTATGCTCTCCAATTTCATTTTAATTTCCTTATGTTAGGATATTCATCGAATATCTTAAGAGAATAATTTTTGGAAGTCTATTCCTACTGGTCAATATTATGGTCGTACTTCAATGTTATTCCTTTTTGGTCGTCCTGACTATCATTGTCACTTCAAATGTTTTTTCCTATTGGTCTCCCTAACTGTCAATGTTACAGACTTTCTGGATGCTTGTACAATACAGGTTCTACTTCATATCTAGTCTTCTTCTTTTACTCAATGGAACTTTGGGACAATAGGATTAGAGTAGCATGATGTGTCTCCGGATCCTCGATCCGCGCTCTCGTTTTCCAACTAAGATAAACTTGTAATAGTTCGAGTGTATCAAATGACGTGTTTACGTGCATACATAACACCCTAGTATATCCAATCTGTCATGAGATCGGAAACGACACTGTAAATACACCGTTCATACAATAAACAAGACGTTATAAGTTATGTAAGTATTATTTTCACTTTATATGCATATTAAAGAGGAAAAATCAAATTTTTAAGTCTCAGCGAATGAATTCTATTTCCAGTTAGAGTTATGGAGATTAGGGTTTTTACACATTTGAAATCATCAGTCCATCATTGTTAGACCACCATTAAAAATCTGGATCATTGGACGGCCGTTTTTTCTTGGTATGAAACTCATCAGTAGCAGTGCGCATCCACTACTCCAGCACCTCGCAGAATTCGAACCCGGGACCCTCGGTCCTGTGCGCGAACGCCTAACCTCTGGTCCACTGTCTCACTCTGACTGATCTAGAGATTTTGCACGACCTCTGACGTTTTCCGCTCGGCAATCTGGTTCATGCTTTTTCAAGGAACTATCATAATCAGACATCAAAAATTATCGAATACAAATTCAAAGTTTACTTATTAATTATTTGTTAGTTCAAGAAATTACTTTAATCACGTTAACCGATGTAAGGAGTGGTACTGATTGCAGTGTGTATAATGCACATGATCTGAAAAATGTGTTAAGAAAACAGATATATTAATGTATACTTTATTACTTACGCCTCTTACTCTCAATTAGGCATAGTTCGCCTACCCGCATTCTACAACCTACTCTGTCATCCACCTTCCTTTCTAATTCTGTTCACTTGTTTTTTATTCCTTCCATGTCTGTCTCCATTTCTCGGAGTAATGTGTTCTTCGGTGTTCCTTGTCTCCTTTGGCCCCGAGGATTCTAAGAGAGGGCACACCCTGTGACGTAGTTGGGTACTTTCCTCAGTATGTGTCCCATCCGACTCCAGTGTGTTTCCCTGATTTATTCTTCCACTATAAATATGTATGAGAATAATGATAGTTATTTGTATTATTATTATTATTATTATTGTCAGAATTGGTACGATATTTGTAAGTTTAATTCCCAAATCAAAAATTCAGAAAATCAGTTGAATTCACCAAGTGATTTCATGCTCATTGATGATTAGCTTCACAAGAAAGTTTCCAAAGTTTTACTAAGAAGCCATTATTACTGCAGCTCATCCATGACATGTACGAGGTAAATATTCATTGGAGACAGAAGAAGATGATCATCATCAGATAGATCCTGGACTAGTGGTCTAGAGATGTTAGATGTTTGCTCACGAGTTTGAAGGTTTTAGTCCTGATTCCAGTAGAAAATTGATGGGTTATTGTTGGGAAAGTTATATCCTTAGAACTCACTTGAAAAAGGTCCTAATTTCAGATTTTTTATGTTTTCGCGCAAAAGTAATTTAGTTGACTTTCAGGTTACATTTCTCACTCGAAAATCCTTGACTGTCATTGGTTGGTGGGTTAATTAAGTACGTTATTTTTGTGGCTCTCCCAAGGACGTTACTATCATTGTATAAATAAGCTTGTTTTGTATACTTAAGGATTTCATATTTTCTATGTGTTTGTAGAATACACTTTCTACACCTTATCAAGTCTTCTTGATATGGTCAACCGGATTAGAATAGCCTATCGTGTCACTGAGTCATTGCTTCGTCTCGTTTACCGGGTAAGGTGAACTCGTAATAGCATTTAAGCACATCACTTGATGAGCATATCAAATGTAGACTACCATACAGTTCTGCAGTAAGAAAAAGACGAATGTCCAGTATTTCCGAGTTCTTAATAATTGTTTAATGTTGACCTCATTGCGATTCCAATGGAATGTAATGATCTTTACAACCCATCAATCATTTCTACTTTATCGGTTTAATTTAGAAAAAAATTCAATTTTATGATTGAAAAAATATATATATTATTAGTTTTAGGATTTCAGATAGCTTATAGTCTCAGCAGCAACAGATCTCAGTATACAGAAGTGGAAAACCGTAATTCTTCGACACACCACAACATAAGCCAACCAAATCACTCTTGATGGAGATGCCATGGAGGACGTAAAAAGCTTTGTATATACCTGGGTAGCATCATCGACAATGAAGGTGAAGGTGTGGATCAGTAAATCGATAGCTGCATTTGTACAAATGAACAAAATCTAAAACTCAAAACAACTGTCAACAAACACACAAATCAAAATTTTCAATACAAATATATTCGAATCTGCTATTGAAGCAAATATTAACTTTAACTTCCCTAGAACCACGTCTATGCGACGATGATAATTAGAAGATCAAGACGCTTTTGTTTGGATGGATTTGTTTCATAAATTCTGTGTACAAATGTGAAACGCGAATAGGAAGCAAACAAATAATGAAAAGAAGCATAAAAGCAAAGTGAAGTGAAGCAGAAAAGGCGAGTGAGCCAATTCAATGCGATGAGCCATGCAACTTGGATGACTCTCCCGGTCTCCCATAATGTATAAACATTCCATGTACTTATTATAATGTTTACTCTGGTTGTCAGAAGAATCATCGGCCTCGAAACTTTCGAAGAAATACAGTTTTCCTCCTCCAATGTCACAACTCTTCCAAATATAGACTTTCTAAATCCCAGGGTAGAGGTAAAACGGTTTGAATTGTTTGTTGTGGTTAGCTTTTTTTAGGGAGTTAGATTTCTACTGGATGGGGTCACTGACCCTCCCCCTTTGTCTGGGCTGGGAATCAGCAGTAGCCTCAGATGAGTTCCAGTCTAATTTGACTCAAAAGCCTAATCCTCAAGGTAGAGGAGTAATGTACAGA